AGGTCAGGGTCGGGGAGGTCGGGGAAGTCGATGGACGGACGGCGGAGAGGACGACCGGCGGCGAGGGCGGCGGTGGAGACGGCGGCGGAGATGGCGGTGGAGAGGACGGCGGAGATGGCGGCAGAGAGGGCAGCGGAGATGGCGGCGGAGAGGGCGGAGGAGAGGTTGAGGCGGCGACGGTGGAGATGGCGGTGGAGAGGACGGCGGCGGTCGAGAGAGTGAGTGAGGAGGCGGCGGTGGAGAAGGAGGCGGCGAGGGCGGCGGAGAGGGCGGAGATGGCGGCAGAGAGGGCGGCGGCGAGGAGGGTCTGGATCGAGAGAGAGAGAGGCGGTGGCGAGGAGGTGGAGATGGCGGTGGAGATGGATGGCGGCGGTCGAGAGAGTGAGTGCGGCGGCGGTGGTGCAGGCCGGCGTCGGGAAGGTCGGCGGAGAGGGTGAGCGGCAGAGAGGTCGGCAGTGGAGAGGTCGAGGCGGTGGTGGGGAGGTCGAGGCAGCGGTGGAGAGGAGGGCGTAGAGGGTGGCGGAGAGGTCGAGAGGGCGGCGGATTTGGCGGCGGCGAGGACGGCGGTGGAGAGGCGAGGCGGCGGTCGAGAGAGTGAGTGAGTGAGAGTGGGCGCCGGATCTGGATCGATCTAGAAGATGTCCAACCCTAGGTCAACCCTAGTCAAACTCACCTGTGACGGGCTCCAACTATGTGGCCGTCACAGGTGGCCTCACCTGTGACGGGCGCCAACCGTGGAGCCGTCACAGGTAAGACCACCTGTGACGGGCCCAACACTCTGGGCCGTCACAGGTGAGGTCACCTGTGACGGCCCTACAGATAGAGCCCGTCACAGGTGAGTTTGCCTAGAGCAATTTTATTTTATTTTATTTCACTAGTTCTTTTATTTTCCTTAACATATTTTCACATACACTACATATTTTTTTTATACTTAATTATTTTATTTCACTAACAGTAGTAATTGCACTTCATTATTATACTACTTTAATTATTTTATTTCCAATGCTTATACTTGCTTAATTATTTTATTTCACTTCTAGTGGGTGCTTCACTTAATTATTTTATTTGACTATTTCATAAGCAATATACTATTGATCATTGCGAACATATTAGAGTCATACAGATAACAGACATGTAGACATAAACTACGTACATAAATTACAAAAATAATCCTTCCTCATGGTCGACACGTGCATATTGAACTTCATCTTCTTCCTCCTCCTCTTCTAGAGGTATTTCTTGACCTATGCCGTGGACGTGCTGGTTGTAATCATCCTCGTCTGCAATATTGTCCAATCCAACAATTCTCCTTTTCCCTTCACGAACAACATGTAGTTTCTTGTTACACGGGTCAACTATGTAGAACACTTGAACAACTTGTTTGGCGAGAACGAACGGTTCATCCTTGTACGCGTTGTTAGCCAAGTTGACAGTGGTGAAACCTTCATTGTCAACTTTTACATTGCGAAGATCGACCCATCGACAACGAAACAACGGGACTTTGAACTTCAAGTAATCTAGCTCCAATATTTGCTCAACTCTACCATAGTATTGATCACGACGACCACCGTCACTAGTAGCCTCGATGCGTAACCCACTGTTCTGCACTGTGCATTTGCTGTCTTGCTTTACCGTGTGAAAGGTGTATCCATTTATGTCATATCCTTGCCAGGTGGTGGCACTCCATTCAGGACCCTGTGACAACCACTGAAGTGTTTCACTAGGCAAGTTCTGCAACCTGGCAATTCGGTTCTTCAGCCACTCGTTGAAAGAAGACATGTGCTTATTCCTGACCCAACTCTCTGATCGGCCTGGGTTCTCTTGTCGGATAACTGCAAGGTGTTCGTCAACGTACGGCACCACCTCAGTCATATGCTGTAGTACCGTGAAATGAGCTTTATCGTACACCTTCCGATCCAACCTAATAGTCTTTCTTCCAACAGTACCAACACCGTCAAGCCTCCCTTCGTGATGAGATCGTGGTAATCCAATTGAAGATGTTTCTGACATGTAGTCCACACAAAATTCGATGGCCTCTTCGGTGGTGTAACTCTCGATGATACTCCCCTCGGGGTGTGAACGGTTCCGTACATAACCCTTAAGGATCCCCAGGTACCTTTCGCAAGGATACATCTGCGTCATGAATGCTGGACCACAGCACTTTGTTTGCCTCACAAGGTGCACCGGAAGATGTTCCATTATGTCAAAGAAAGTTGGAGGAAAGTACATCTCAAGATGACATAGGGTTCTCACAAGTTCTGCCTGTAGTTCATCTAGTCCCTCGGGATCAATGATCTTCTGGCCGATTGCATGGAAGAAGGAACACAACCGCTGGATCGTGTGTCACACCTTAGGAGGCAAAATATTCCTTATTGCAACGGGCAACAGCTGTGTGATAAGAACGTGGCAATCATGCGACTTCATTCCAACCAACTTAAGATCTTGCAGTGAAACGAGCCTACTGATTCTTGATGAGTAACCAGATGGAACCTTTATACCACTCAAACATGTTAGCAAATCAATCTTCTCTTCTTTCGAGAGAGTGTAGCAGGCTGGAGGAAGGTAAACCCTGCCGGATTCCGTGGTTATGGGATGTAGCTCCGACCGAACACCCATATCTTCCAGATCTCGTCGGGCGTTGAGACCATCCTTTGTAGTACCTGGGTTAAGCAGTAATCCCATTAAACTCTCGCATACATTCTTCTCGACATGCATCAAATCTATGCAGTGGCGAACTTCAAGATCCTTTCAGTATGGTAGTCTCCAGAATATTGACTTCTTTTTCCACATGCTCCTCTCTTTTGTCTTTTGTTTTTCCACATGCTCCTCTGTTTTTTCCTTCGATGTGCTCTTCTCTTTTCGCTTTCCAACTTTCCTCTTTTTTCCAAACTCGTTGGTTATTCCCATCACTAAGTTGTGCACCTCTGTCCCTGTTAGCTCTGTCGGGGGTCCGGCTGTATCTCTGTGTCCATTGAAATTCGTTCTCATATTCCTATACGGGTGATACCTTGGGAGAAATCTCCTGTGACCCATGTAGACCGTCTTGTGTGAATGCTTCAACCATTTGCTTCTTGTTTCCTCCATACACTCCGAACACGCCCATTTCCCTTTCACAGTTTGGCCAGAAAGGTTGCCAAGGGCCGGATAATCGTTGATGGTACAAAACAGCATCGCATGGAGGTTGAAATACTCTTGTGCATATGCGTCCCATGTTCGTGTGCCCTCATTCCATAGCCTTTCGAAGTCATCGATTATCGGTTCAAGGAACACATCGATATCGTTGCCAGGTTGTCTCGGTCCTTGAATGAGCATGGCAAGCATAATGTACTTTCTTTTGAAACACAACCAGGGAGGAAGGTTATAGTTAACAAGCAGAACTGGCCATGTACTGTGACGACTGCTCAAATCACCAAAAGGATTAATGCCGTCCGTACACATTGCGAAACGCATGTTTCTTGGGTCATTTGAGAATTCCTGGTAAATCCTATCGATTGTCCTCCACTGCACTGAATCTGCTGGGTGCCTCAGCATAGTATCGACTTTCCGTTCTTCGGCATGCCAGCGCACAAGCTTAGCTTGTTCCTTGTTCGCAAACATTCTCTTCATGCGCTCCGCAATTGGGAGATACCACACCACCTTTGCTGGGCCTCCCCTCTTTGACTTACTTCCTTCACCTTCACTCTTTGCTCGTTTGTATCTTGATCCCCCACAAATAGGGCAGACATCCAAGTCAGCGTATTCCTTGTAATACAAAATGCAGTCGTTCGGACATGCATGAATTCTTCTGACCTCCAGGCCCAACGGACATAATACTTGCTTCGCTTCATATGTCGTCTGAGGTAAATTGTTCCCCTCTGGCAACAGATCCTTTAACAGCTCAAGGAGTTCTGTAAAACTCTTGTCCGACCAGCCATTACTAGCCTTAAGCTTCATCAGTTCCAACACGCATGACAACTTGCTGTGCTTCGACTTGCATCCATCATACAACGGCATCTGGCAATCTTCCACCAACTTACTAAACTTCTCATAATCTCTGTCGTTGTCCTCTGCGTCTTCAATGTCATGCAACATTGTAGATAGACATTGAGTGTCCAAATCTATGGTCTCTCCACCTAAAGGAGAAGGTACGAACATGCCTTCTCGAGCTGCGGCGGTGTTCTCTACATCCTGATCCAACACTTCTTCAGCTGCGTCATCAGGCGCCTCTTGCTCTCCATGCTTGGTCCAGCAGGTATATTTCTTCATGAATCCATTCATTATCAAATGAGCATGCACTTCATCCTTGTCTTCGATCATCTGTTCATTCTTACAGTCCCTACATGGGCACAACATGTGCATGCTCATCCTACTTTTTCTGTCATTATCCGCAAATGTGACAAATTCAGTGACCCCCTCTCTATACTCGGTAGACGAACGATGCGCATAGTACATCCATCTACGATCCATCTGAAATCAACAACATACGAAGAAAAATAAATGATGATCGATATGTTGAGAATGAATGGAGAATAATGTGTTTTTTACCTTGAATTTTAGCAAAAAATCGCCCCCCTTGCCCTCCCAACCGATTTGTGAACAGTACAATGGTCGGGATGGAAAGCAGTTGGCAGTTTGGGGGTATTTATAGACCCAACACACCTCAAACGGGTTAGATAAAAAAAGCCCGTCAAAGGTATTGCTCATACCTTTGACGGGCTTCTATTCAACGGCCCGTCACTGGTATCCGCTCACCTGTGACGGGCCAGAAATGAAAGCTGTCACAGGTGGCGGCCCATCACCTCTGACGGCTTCTAATGTATCGGCCCGTCACAGGTGAGGGGATACCAGTGACGGGTTGGAAGAAAAACTCGTCACTGGTATACCTCTGACGGGTTTTCCTTTCGGCCCGTCACAGGTGAGGGGATACCTGTGACGGGCCACGGCCAGATGCCTCACCGGTGACGGCATCCCGTATAACCCGTCAAAGGTAATGGTCACTACTGACCAATTCGTTTGCCCGTCACAGGTATCCCGTCAGAGGTGTGAGGATCTGGCGTAGTGACAGGATTTGATGACAAATACTTAGCTCCCAAATTATCACACCAAAGACAAGCAGTAGTTGGGTGACTAATTTTTAACTCATCAAGCACTTTTTGTACCCACATTACCTTTGCTGTAGCATTAGCCAAAGACTTATACTCTGCTTCTGTACTAGACCGAGAGACCGTGGCTTGCTTGCGTGCACTCCATGAAATAAGATTCTTTCCAAGAAACACAGCAAAACCTCCTGTTGATCTTCTGTCATCTAGACATCCTGCCCAATCTGTATCGGAGAAAGCACTGACAAGCATAGATGAATTCTTACTTATCTTAAGACCAACATTTCTTGTACCATGTACATACCGAAGAATTCTTTTAACTGCTGACCAATGAGTAGTAGTAGTAGGAGCATGTAAAAACTGACAAACCTTGTTAACAGAGAAAGAAATATCTGGACGAGTCAAGGTGAGATACTGTAGTGCTCCAACTACATTCCGATACCGAGTGGAGTCCAATGGCCCTAGCTGTTCTCCACTAGTAATAGACAGCTTTTCTAACACTGATAAAGGAGATGTGACTGACTTACAGTTGGTCATCCCTACACGCTGAAGTAAATTAGTTGCATATCTTTCTTGTCTCATTGTGAGACCATCATCTGTTCTCTGTACTTCAATGCCAAGAAAGTAGTGCAAGTCTCCAAGATCTTTTAAGGCAAAATCTGCTTCAAGACCCTTTAATAAAGCATCTGTAGCACTTTGTGAAGAACTGGCAACTATAATATCATCCACATATACTAAAACAAACATGGTTAAATGTCCTTTGTTAAGGAAAAAGAGAGAAGCGTCAGCTTTAGAGGGAATAAAACCAAGCTACTGCAATTTCTGACTCAAGCGTGAATACCATGCTGTCGGTGACATGGGACCGGGGGTATCTTGACTAGAGGTTTGGGGTAGCTGCAGTCACCCACGTGGCCTAACCCCCTCGGGGGGGTCGGGCCCGAGGGTGATGTGGCCGCCCCTCCTTCTGTCTCCCCGAGGGGTCGGGCCGCTCCCGTTTCGGCCCCGAGGGCTGGGGCGCCCCGACCCCCTGTGGGTTTGGCGCCACGTGTGTGGGTTAGGTGAGCACAGCGGCGCTCACCTAACCGCGTTTATTGCGGGTTGGACGAGCGCCCCACGCCGCATTTAATGCAGCGCAGCACACTCGTTCGGTCCGTGACAGGTCACAGTGTGTGACCGGTCACAGACCGGTCAGATCGCGGGTTAGGTGGCAACAGGCGGCCTTTCGCACGCCTCGCCCCGTCCCGTCGGAATGATGAGAGCCTCTAGGCACTCGTCCCTAGCCGGAGCCGGCGTGCTGACTCCTGGAGTTAGCACGTCAGTCCCGGCTAGATTCATACCAGGCTTCATCGCAACCATTACAAGGAAGTCATTTTATGAAGAAGGGCTGACGTGTGGCATGCTAAACTGACGCGTGGTAGACAAGAATGACCGGTTTGTGACTGGTCTGACGCCGGTCACGTCATCGGCAGACAACCGTGGTCCCATGTTGCGCCTGCTTCCGGCGGAGTGGAGGTAGGTATGGCCCATCCCATCAGAGGGTCATTCGGACAACAGCCATGGCAAATCTCTGCCCATTAATGAGGGAGTAACAGGGAGATCCCCGGTGTCAGGCGAGTGATGACGCTGGGCCTCACTCAAAGACAAGCTGTGATTTAGCTTCCAGGCGAAGGCGCAAGCCAGTTTTTTCTTTTTTGGGAAGATAGGGTGAGTCCCCACCCAAAAGAAGAGTAGGTAGAAGTGGTGCATGTGGGATCCCCTTGAGATATAAAAGGAGGACCTTGCCCACTTAAGAAGGGGGGAGCTGGGGAAAGAGGGGGGAGAAGACCTGAGCTCGTAGAGGAGAGAAAGAGGAAGAGGGTTTCTAGAGTTTGAACTCTCTTGCTCTCCAGCTCTTTGTAACTCCTTCATACACAGATCCACCAGAACACAGGAGTAGGGTATTACGCTTCTCAGCGGCCCGAACCTATCTACATCGCCCATGTCTTGCGCATTTGCTCTCTCGCGAAACATTCCACAGATCGAGTGCTTAGAACCTCACCTAGCGCCCCCGGCCGAACCGGCAAAGGGGGGCCCGCGCGGTCTCCCGGTGAGGAGCCCCACGCTCCGTCACATGCTCTAGGCACTTGTTTGAGACCATATAAAGCTTTATCAAGTTTGCAAAGATAATGTGGATGATATTTATCTTCATACCCAGGAGGTTGCCGCATGTATACCTCTTCCTCCAGAACTCCATAAAGGAATGCGTTCTGTACGTCCAGCTGGCGTAAGCTCCATCCTCTTGTAACTGCAACTGACAACACAAGACGAATAGTGGCAGCTTTGACTACAGGACTGAAGGTGTCCTCATAGTCAATTTCATATCTCTGTTTAAAACCTTTAGCAACAAGACGAGCCTTGTATCTATCTATAGTTCCATCAGCCTTCTGTTTAATTTTATAGACCCACTTACAATCTATTATATTCTTCCCTTTTGTAGGAGGGACTAAATGCCATGTTTTGTTTTTCTGCAATGCTAGAAATTCATTGTCCATGGCTAGCTTCCAATTTTTACTATTCAAAGCATCATTCAAAGTATCAGGTTCTGACTCAGCAGTAATTAAATTTGCCCAACGAACTGTACCGTCTGTGTAAACCTTGGGTTTACGAATTCCCTGTTGTAGACGAGTGGCTGGTCGTTGAGGCTGAGTCAGGGCAGCTTCGCTGGATGTGGTAGAGTTGTTCGCCGTAGAGTTGGTCGCCATGGACGATCTTGACGACGAGCTGTCCGAGAGAGGCTCCGACGAGCCCCCGTCGATCGGAACAGCCAAGGAGTCATCGCCGCGTGGAGGAGACGCCGGCTCGGGCGCACTGTCGGAGACACGCGACGAGGAATGGCTGGTGGATGGCGATCGGCTGAGAGAAGAGCCGGCTGCAGCGCCTATATCCCCAGGATGATGCGCCGCAGTTGCGTCAGAAGTCGCAGCGTCGTCAGGGGCTGCGTGAGTGTTAGGAGCCGCGGAGTGCCCGGGCCGCCCGCCGAGCAGAAAACCATGGGTGTTTTGCTCCAAAATTTGCCCTGTTCGCCCAGAAATTTCAGCAGCAGCATCTGCACTCGTAGCAACATCAACTGGAGACTCATGAGCAGGGTTAGTAGAAGAATTAATCACATATTGGTCAACATGTTCGTCCCGAGAAGGATTCAAAAGATGTTCTGGGAGGAGAAGAATTTCAGCCCGGAGACAATGACCAGCATTTGGATGAAGGTCAGAAAATGGGTAGATATGTTCATCAAAAACCACATCACGAGAAATATAAACCCGACCACTTAAACCCTTTGTGCATTACACTGTAACCAAGGAAAACACACCGTTTCAAGCGGAATTGGAGTTTGTGAGAATTGTAAGGGCGTAAATTTGGCCAGCACGCGCAGCCAAAGGTGCGGAGGGAGGTGTAATCAGGTTTGATATGAAAGAGCATTTCTAGAGGTGTGGAGCCTTGGAGAACAGGAGTGGGAAGCCGATTAATAAGGTAAGTACCTGTAAGGAATGCCTCATCCCAAAACTTGAGAGGCATCTGAGCATAGGCTAGAAGGGATAGCCCAACTTCAACAATATGATGGTGCTTACGTTCGGCAGACCCGTTTTGTTGATGTGCATATGGACATGACACACGGTGAGAAATACCGATGCGTTGAAAAAAGGAATTGAGTTTGTGATATTCACCACCCAATCAGTTTGCATAGCTAATATCTTGCGATCAAAGAGTCGTTCTACAGGATTCTGAAAATTATGGAAACATTGAAACACATCGGATTTATGTTTAAGGAGATATATCCAAGAAAATTTGCTGAAATCATCCACAAAACTCACATAATAATTATTCTTCCCAACCGAGGTTGGTGCAGGACCCCAAACATCTGAATGAATAAGCTCTAAAGGAGCACTAGAACGACTCAAAGACTTAGAATAAGGAAGTTGATGACTCTTCCCTTTCTGACAAGCATCACAAACCGAATGCTTGTTTGACTCACTAACACAAGGTAAATTATTATGACTCAAGACTTGTTGAACAATGACTGAGGACGGGTGGCCTAGGCGACAATGCCACTGCGAAGGAGAAAGCTTGATAGCTGCAAAAACTTGTTTATTTGGGAATGATTTCAGAGGATAAAGGCCTCGCTCACATCTGCCTTGGTGAAGTAGTTTCCTCGTTACCTGATCCTTGATAGAAAAATAACGAGGGAAAAGCTCTAAGAAAGCTTGGTTATCAAATGCAAGGCGATGAGCAGAGATTAAACTTTTGTTTGCTTCGGGAACATAAAGAATATTTTTTAGTATAAGATCACGGTGTTGGGTGCGAACAATAGATTGACCAATTTGATTAATCTTCATACCTGAACCACTGGCAGTATGAACTTGATCACCTCCATTGTACTTCTCCCGCACCGTCAGCTTGTCAAGATCGCTGGTGATGTGGTCCGTCGCCCCGGTGTCAATATACCAATTGGTACCAACACCGTAGGAGGAGGTAGCAGCAGCAGCACTCTTCTCTTCGCCAGTGAAGGAAGCATCAAACCTCTTGTAGCACTTGACCACCGTATGGCCCAATTTGTCACACAGCTGACACTTGGGGTGATCTCCTCCTTGGTTGTTGGTGAAGCCACCACGGCCGCGGCCTTGGCCGCCGCGACCACGGTTCAGATTTTGGCCCTGGTTTGGCTGACCATGGCCGCGACCTCCTCCATTGCCGCCGCGAGAAGCAGAGTTGGTGGACGACTGAATGCCACCCTGTCGAAGTTCCAATCGCTGCTCAAAAGTAACAAGCTGTGAAAACAACTCACCGACTGAGATTGGCTCAGAACGTTGGGCGACTGCAGAGACAACCGGGTCAAAATCATCATCGAGCCCAGCCAGGATGTCGGAGACGATGTCGTCGTCGTCGAGCTTCTTTCCTGCCGAGGCCATGTCATCAGCAAGACCCCGCATCTTGGCCACGTACTCGGCAACCTTCAGATTGCCCTTCTTCGTGGCCGTCAGAGCCATGCGTGTGTTCATCACACGCGCACGGGAGTGAGATGCAAACATCCCACTTATGGCATCCCAAACCCCAACAGCAGTGGGAATTGAGACCACCTGGATGAGGACATCACGTGAGAGGGAGAGCAACAGGTAGCTGAGAACCTGCTGCTCTTGCGCCACCCACTCGGTATGCGCGGGATTGGTGACCCGCACATCCTTGTCGTCCTTCTTGGTGATGATGGTGGCCGGCGGCTCCTCCTTTGTGCCGTCGATGTATCCAGCCATCTGAGCTCCCCTGAGCGCAGCAAGAACTTGCGCCTTTCAGAGAGGATAGTTGCTGCGGGAGAGTTTCTCTGTGACCGCGTGCGCGAGAGAAGGAGCAGCGCCACCGGCTAGCGAGGATGAAGACGACGCTATAATCACGACGTCGAGGAAGCAGGCTCTGATACCATGAAAAGATTGGATTTAACGTGGATACCTCTCTCGGTCCTCCACGGTTGCGTGTTAAATATGCACAGGAACAGCCCCTGGCGTGGCACGATTACAGCGGAGAGATTACAACAAATCTTATCAAGATTAAGAGATAAACACAGGAGACTAACAACCATGATCTATCCCTCAAAGTTAGGAAGCTAATCCTATCACTAACTGTGACTAGATAGAACAAACCTTAACAACTACTATACTTATACGCATAAATATCTATAGGTATGAATTGAGTGCTATCTTTATCTTAAACTAGTACTTTATCATAAAATATACTCCCTCGTTCCCTAAATGTTTGACGTCGTTGACTTTTTAAAACATGTTTGACCGTTCGTCTTATTCAAAAACTTTTTGTGGAATGTGAAAAACTATATGCATACATAAAAATATATTTAACAATAAATCAAATGATAGGAAAAGAATTAATAATTACTTAATTTTTTTAATAAAACGAAGGTCAAACATTTTTTTAAAAAAATCAACGGCGTCAAACATTTTGGGATGAATGGAGTAGTAACTTTTAAATATAAATATAAATATGCCCTTATCTAGATTTATAGTTAAAAGTTATTATATTAATTTGAAGATAAATGGAGTAATTATTTTCGCACAACGTGTACATCGCTTGATCTGTGTTCAGTGCCGTCGATGGCCATGTGCCAAGTGATCGACCGCACAGGGGCCCCCAAAATCAAGGGCCCCAAAATTCTCATATTTAAATACAAGACACTAATTTCCAATATGTTTTTATCCTATTCATTTTATTTTTTTTTAAAAGTTCCCCTCATCTTGACGTACTGATTTGGCTAGAACATATTTATTTTCTTTGCATTCAATAGATGTTCAATAATAATTATGGCAAACTCAAAGAAATATAGTTTATAGCGGCGCCATGAACGTGCATTCTAGATACTAAACATTCAATTTTTACGATTAGTAAAGAAAATCGAATAACTACATTAAGAAGCACTTATTTTTCTTACTTAAGGAGGTGTAAGCCACCATTTACGTAATATTTTTTCTGAACAATTTAGTATCCCTTTTGTTGATATTTTCTAAATATAAGGTCTCATTTTAAGTTTCACACTGGGGCCTAAAATTGCTAGGTACGGCCCTGTCTGTGTTAATGTTTTTGGGGGCATATGGGACCACGTCAAGAGTGCCCAATGTGTCGAGGAAAAAAATGTCCAATCTACGATACTACTCAAAACTAACACATTCCTCTTGAAAACACACGCTAAAAAAGTTTGAGATCAGCGACAAATTTCTACCTCACTAAATTCATATTCAAGTCATACATAAATGACTCCATATACCGTACCAAAAACATCTTCTGGAAAAAAAAATATCTGCACTACTACATAACATCATAAAAGGACTAGGGCTGTGTTTAGTTCGTGTGCCATTTTTTTAAAATATACGGACACACATTTAAAGTATTAAACGTAGACTAATAACAAAACAAATTACAGATTCCGCCTGTAAACTGCGAGACAAATTTATTAAGCCTAATTAATCCGTCATTAGCAAATATTTACTGTAGCACCACATTGTCAAATCATGGTATAATTAGGCTCAAAAGATTCGTCTCGCGATTTACATGCAATCTGTGCAATTGGTTTATTTTTTCACATTTAATGCTTCATGCATGTGTCCAAACATTTGATGTGATCGAAAAAGTTGAAAGTTTGAAGAAAAAAATTGAATCTAAAGACGACCTAGCACTATATATACCGAAAATGTTAAAACTGTTAAAACTGACATATATAAACCTTTTTCCTATCTACATGGGTTAAAAATAATATACAACTAGTTCCTTTGAACAACTATAGATGCCGGTTCTAAGAAAAACCGACACCAATTTTATAGGTGCCGCCTTCAATATATTATAGATGTTAGTTAATTAAAAAAAGGCATTGTAAGAATCGAGCCAAAAATGGGAGATATTTTTTTAGCAAAGTCAACATAGATCATCCTTATCCCTTCGCTCGTTCCACCCCTTTCTCTCTCGCCCACGCCATCCCTTCACTCTCGCCCTGCCATACCCTTTATCTCTTTGCTCTCGCCCTGCCGCTTTCTCCTCCCATCCTCCTCAGCATGTGGCAGCATCCCCCTTCCCCTTCCCCAGGTTGTTGTTTTCTCCTCAATCCAAGGCAATGATGGGGGCTCGAGCAAAGATGACGGCGGCAATGGTTTGGTTGGTGTGATAACGACTCCCACTCCCCCTCGCCCTCTTTGTTTCTCGGGCGTCGATGCATCGATGGCGTCACCTCCAACTCAGGGGTCGTTGGATGTGCCCCCCCCCTCCAACAGCGATGGTGATGGCGGTCCGACTACGGCGAGCAGTGGCCCTCCCTTTGACCCTGCCTCCCTGTGAGCAATGACTAGCAGGTAGGTATCCCTCCTCTCCTTCCCCATCCATCCCTCCCAAAAAAAAAATCCCCTCACTATGTATTCTGGATTTGACAGTGGTGGTGAGCGGTAATGCCTTGGCCTCCAATAAACAGCGGCGGTGGCGGCAGTGGTTTTTGTGAGAATTTGTTATTTGGTTTCTTCTTATTGGATCTGTGAGAATTTTTATTCAGCTTTTGTCCCTGTTGTTCTTGGCCTGAAGCATTGAGTACCCGAAGCATCAACTCGATTTGAGCCGATGCGAGCCTCTTTTTTTTTTATTCCTATAACCATCAAAGGTACTGATTCTTAAACCCGTACCTTTAATTGTTCACATCGGTATTGTCTAGAGGATGCGGGTAGGAAATCCGGTGCTTATGGACTGTTCCCAACCGGTACCAATAAGATTTTTTTAAAGCAGTGCTGGGAACCATATTGGTCCAGGTTTGTCTGCATCAGTTATGCATGGGGGCGAACAAAGGCGTTGATATTTCGTAACATCTTAACAGATGACTGTTTTCATTTTGGCGAAAAAAATGGTTCGTCCAACCCGGCCGAAAGCGCAAAACACTATCTTGATCTTTGACAGCATATTTTGCTGCAGAAACCCCAGAAATCACGTACGGCAGCCCAGTGCAAGAGTTAAGATATTGTCAGGAGACTCAGGATGCTCAGCACGAACACAGGAGACTGCCGGTAGTGCGGCCAACTATATCAGCGCGCTGCCGCTGCCTGTCTATATCAGCTCATCAGACTCCATCACTCCACAGCAGGAGCCAGCCAGCCAAGCCGGGGTACCTGGAGCTGCATGGGCCCATGGCATGCATGCAGCTTTCGCACCGAGAGCGCGGCACAGCGATATCACGAGCCGGCCCGGCGCGCTTTCCCCCTGTACAGTACACCGAGGCCCTGCACTGCGCGCGCGCCTGGCCTGCTATACCGATCGACGGCCCGACGGGCCCCGGCGACGCCGCGCCCCCCGCTGCGGCCCTTCCCTGTATGCATGGCATCTGCGCGCGGATCGCGCTATACCTCCATCGATCACCCAACCAACCCGGCATGCATATGGCAGCGTAAGCGTTCGTGAAAAGGCGGTGGCGCGCGCGGTCCTCGTGGCACGACGCGAAGACAGCAAGCGGCGCGTGCGTACGAGCGTGCGCGGCGTTTTGTGCTGGCGTGAGGTGTGTCGGAGCGGTATGCATGGCCGGGCCCCGATGATCGATCGGTCGGTCGATCGACCTGCGGTGCGGGGTGCGGGAGCCGGCCGGGCTTGTACTGTAGTAGCGTAGTGCCGTGGCTGTGCATGCGCTGCACCGCTGCAGGGTGAGACAGACAGACCGGGTTCGATCGAGGTGGTCACATACATATATATGTAGCCAGGGTGGCCACAGGCTACACTACGCGTGCATGTGACGGGCCAGCATATATAGCACTGTGATATTGCGAGTATATATATGATTAAAACACGTACGTCTGTTATTGACTTATTGTACAGTAGTTTTTTTAGATACAGTAGTGTGCAGTAGCTAAGGTAGGTACTATACGTACGAATACGATGTTGCTCCCCTTTACCTTCGGTTCCTTGGAGTAGTATACATAGGAAATGAGATATTTTTTCCCCAAACAAACAAGAAAGAAGAATTGAAGGTCTTCAAGTAAAGGGCAGATAGGAATTGAAGAAAAGTCTACTCCAAATAACCAATCCTTGGAGTAGTACTCCGTACTGATGAATGAACGGTAAGAAGTTTGATCATCTCTGAAGAAACGCAAATTCCACCAGATGTGTGCAAGCTGATTGCGCTGACTGCTGACCGATGGTACGCTTGGCTGCCTCTGCCACATCCGAAGTTTCATCGACTTCTGAGGTTGAGTGTGACTTCACGGTCCAAGATAGTACTCCGATCGAGTAGATTGCCTATGTCACATCTTATGATATCGACTGCTAGCCAGTACTTGTTGATAAACAAAATTTGAACACGTCTGCCTTTTTTTCCCAGCTTCCGGAGTTTCAGAGAATACTCTCAGTTATCCGATAACACACAGTTGCTGCTACAGTATTGTTTACCGCAAGAGCGCTGAGCGTTACATGTATACACTGATAATACTATTACAAAGGAGTACACAGTCACACGAACAGAATACAAAGTGTGCTGTTGCTTTACAGGGATTGTCAAGGAGACCACGATTGCTTGTGAGAGTTGACACGAGCTGGACGGGATCTCTCTGAGAGCAGAGTGACATTCATTCGGGCGTGACCACGAGGAGCCTTTCGTCTGGTAGGCCTTTGCGTGCATGGCTTCCTCTCCAAGCTCTCACAGGAAAAAGGGGACGAGTACTCAGTGCTGCAGGTTCTTATTCCCTCCCAGATTCTTCGTCACGTATACCAATCTTCAGAAAGAACACGTACCCGGGGAATAACTCTGGCCGGCATGCGTGTAGAGACGAGCACGGCATCGTCGTCATCTCACTAACCGAGAGACAGTGAGGTTCGCGTCCATGCAAAATATACTTCATTCGTGTGAAAAATATAGTAATCTAAAATGGAACACATTCTAGGATAATAAAGTTAGATATATCTTTGTTCAAGTTTACCATTTTACATTCTATCTTAAGTTCTTATATATTGGAATAGAGGGAGTAAGTATTTTTTTAAGTTTTAACAAAAAATAAAATCAAGAAAAGAAATTAATTGTTATGAATGTTACTATGAAAATTAGATAAAGAAAACCGGTTGTGATCGGTTAAAAATAAAAAAGAAATTTTAAAAATACCATCAGCAAGGTAGATGAAGATATAAATTGTTATATTTTTAGTCGAACGGAGTACTCATCTTTTTTTCCTTTTTTTTAAGTCGCCGTCTCCCCCGTCACCTCGTGAAGATAGCAGGCACGCTTACTAGCACGTGGGCCGAGCGAAATGTATTGGAGACGTCTTTGTTTTCCTAGCCATAAACTCTCTCCATCCCTAAATACTTGACACTGTTAACCTTTTAACACATGTTTGATCGTTTGTCTTATTCAAAAATTTTAAGTGATTATTAATTCTTTTTCTATCATTTGATTCATTGTTAAATATACTTTTATGTATATATAGTTTTACATATTTCACAAAAGTTTTTAAATAATACGAACGGTCAAACATGTTTATAAAAATCAATGGCGTTAAATATTTAGGGACGGAGGGAGTATAATGCATATATATGTTCGAGAAAAAACATACAGTTCCAATACGTACATATATGCCTCTTTCTCACGTGGGTTCCGGATGTTCATCTCTCTATCTAGCCGTAGTTTTCACCCAACTCTTCACTTGTTGCTTGAAACATAGTCCTAACTAATCCAATGCACTCAATCTGGTTGGAAATGCTTCCTTGAACATATTGTCATTTCAATAATTACCTCGAAAATCACTGGATAGGATTTCTCATTAAAAAAACCATTTTCGTACATATCTCCTATTTATTTTTACATGCGGTCCAAAAAATTTACAGTGTGTGAAAATGCATAGGAGTCTCCTTATCAAGACCCGCGTGTAAAAATTTTGACAGGACACCCCAAAGTGATACGGCTAGTGGACAAAAAAAAAAGAGTAATTAGCTATAAGATACTACGGCAATTATTTTATTATCTTCACTCCAAATGAAGAGAGAAACATATAAAGAAATACATTTTAGCCGTCATGGACGTCGTCGCCTCCTCCTCCAAATTCTATAGGGTTTTGGAGGGGGATCAGGAGAGGGAGAGTGGATTAGTTCAATCAGGTTACAAGCAATCTGGCCCTAGAGGAAAAATAGTCTTTTTCACACGGTTTCTCTCTCCATTTGGACCAAAATTAATAAAATAATGATCACAATATCTCATAGTTGATTACCATTTTTAGGATTCCGATAGCTATGTCATGTTTTTGGAGTGTCCTTCAGCAATGAGCATAAAAACAACTTTTCTAATTAATTTTCACAAACAATATATAGTTTTAGGAGGACCGCATATAAAAAGGATATATTTACAGGAGTCACCCTAGGAGCACCACATGTATAAAAGCAAATAATCTATTAAAATCGAAGGAGGGTGGGCCACTTCTAGCCGCAAGCCCCTTCGCATCTCTCTCCGCTCCTCACTCTCCTCTCCCGCACCAAACTCGATCTCCTCTCCTCCTAGGCGCCACCCTCGTCATCTCTTCCTTTACACACATCCCACGTTGATGTCGCCGCATAGGCTTAACAAGGAGTTCAAAGCCATAAGATCTGATTCACCTTGGCCTTTCCACTGGTGGCGCGCCCAAATCAATTTTCGTAGACGGCGGTGGATCGAGCCATATGTGAAAATCAACTATTTTTATAGGTTTTTAAGTTATAGGCGAACCCTCCAACAGCATGTATATATGAAAAAAAAAATCTATTCTAGCCGTATGTACAAACTGGTTTTGTAGTAGTGATTCATGTTGAAATGCTTATTACTGAGAAAAGTTAGCACATGTTGATGGGTCAAGCAGTTATATGACTTAAAGGATGATTTCGACGCAATGCAGAACACTTGAAGAATGGGCCTCGGTGAAGGGCAAGAGAGACAAATTTTTTACTATGCTCATGCATGTACGAACTAGTAGAACAGAACAGCATACTCAGAACATGGATAATCTGCGCAGGAAACCATAATTAATGCCATCTACAGTACGCAGGTGCGCGATTAAGTTAAACGCGATTGTATGTCCGCATCAACGAAAACAACCGCAATGAGGCCAAAGCAGGGAGAATCTCAGCGTATAGGCTGGGGCCCCAGCCCCCCAACTCAGCAGATGAGGCATGCAGCCATATTCCTCTGCCTGGCTCTCACTCTCACTCGATCACCTCCCGGTAAAATCCAAACGGCGCGGCATAATTCTGCCGCATAAAACCAAGCGACCAAATTCCCCTCCTCTCACCGTGTCACACGGGAACAGAACTTACTACTCGGCCTCTGCAGCTATATAGCTCTCGATCGATTCTGTTCTAAGCTCTAGTAATCTAGCCTATTGCATGCCGTTCCCAAGGTTAGCGAATGTTTTTAGACTAAGCCGTGATCTATCATCTGATAGTATCAGGCTATCAGCCATGAATTAATATATATATATAAATACTACTATATGGATGCATATATATGTCTGATGTGACCTATAGCTTTGACGCAATTTCCTCACCTAATGCTTGTGATATCTATGGGTTGTTGTCACGACACTCGTTATAGGTTAGTGATATCTAAAACTAATTTTGATTACGTTTCTGGAGTTTACTTTTTGTTTATAGTTAGGACATCGAAGGGTCCTGTTTAAAAAGGTCCTCCTT